TTACACTAGCTACTATTTTTAACTATGAAAGCTAAAGACAAATGGAAACATATGAAAATTGTTGGCTCAATTACAAGGACAAAACACACAGAAACTGCTAAATTACATCAAAGACACTTCAAAAGGCATAGTGTGATTCATAAAGACATTTGCACAAGTTTAAACTGTTACCTCCTGGACATCCTCTGGATTTTTTCTTGAAACAATCTGAAAGGCAAAACAAAAATGAAACCACGTTAAGTCCTTGGATTTTCAATTTGGAACTTAAAGAGTAACATACAATGATTTGTTGCTGAAGAGAAAAGTCTGGAAAAATGCAAACTTCCTGTGCACTCAGGAAGTTTTGATTTAGTTTTAGAGAACTCGAATACCCAAAGACAACTTAGTAAGGGATTTCAGCAGCAGTTGTGGTCACACATAGACAGTCATACATTCTAGGCAGAACGGCACAAAAGGCATCTCTCAAAACAAAGCTACACAGAGCACATCTCCTATCATTTTTCCAGCCTCCTCCTATTAATTCATATTAGGGCCACATTACTCCCAATAAGAAGACCTCACTAAGGTTACTTGGCTTAATATAAGCTGCGAACAACCTCACTGAAATTGTGAGGATTTGTATTTAGTAAGACAGTATTTCCTCTTTACTTACAATCACCAGAGCGTAGACACGTCTGACTATCTTCGTGTATTTGCTTCTCCTTAAAAACTCTTGGTCTAATTAATTATAAATGACTTTTTCCAGGGGAAAATTGCGGTGAAAATCAGGCTTGGCTGCACACCATAAAGAAGCCTGTATTTCGTCAAGATTTTTTTTTTTTTTTCCTTTAAATAAATATCGATCACAAAAGCCTTTGTAATCCGAGTTTTGTACAGGTCTTATAAAGAGCAGTAGGAGCATATCCCCACAGACGTACAAACCAAACAGACACATCTTTAATTCATAACTGCAATTATCTTCTGCAAGTCAGTATGTCCTTCATCGTAAGAGCCAAAGCTGTTTAACAAAATAATTAGTCTATTGTTAGCTAAAGCAAAATAGGGCATTCTTAATGCAACTGGGACTGTCCTCGGCGACACACCCCAGAATAATTGATGCCCTGAAGAGGTGATGCGTGTAAGGAAGCACAGGGAGCCCACAGCACTTGCACCCCAGAGACTCACACACTGTCCCGCCGCTCCGCAAGCGCCACGCAGCTGCTGCTCCGAGATGGAAAACACCAAATCCACACTTTCCTCTTGCTCAGTAACAACAGCATACCTCTTACATCTCCCACAAACTTCGCCCTCTTCCTCAGTTCCATTTTGCAAGAATCCTTGCCAAAGCCTCCCAGGTCTTGTACCATCCATTTACTACAGCCCAGCCACTCATCTCTCACATATTTTGGAGGAGAGAAGATGGAAAAGAGAAGTGTTTCCTTCTCCAGCAATCTCCCAAAAGACTTGAAACATTTTCCTTCACAGCTCCATGTTCTCTTTCTCACCTTGCACACCAAAGTCCTCTTCTTCCAGCGTAGTCTATATTGATAAAACCCTTCTCGACTTTTCCTCACTTTTGAGTAATCTAACATTTGGCAACTTTACCAAATGTTAACCTTGGTGGCTGTTGCTCTTTCATTCACTACCAGGCAGTTTAAAAATACAATTGGTGAAATAATCCTAACCTCCATTTCTAATAGCTGGCTTACTTGATGCAAGGAGTCTGTAGAGCTGGGGGAAGACAATACCACAGGCATGGCTGCACATCACAGAGAACACCAAAGGGCAGACACCAACTGCTTTGCTTTGCAGTTCACCTTTAGTTAAAGCCTTGTAACAGTTTTGGCAGCTAGGTAAGTTACCAGATGGGCAGAAGGAGACCCAGAGAGATGAGTAATTACCCAGCCAGTTAGTAAGAATCTGGAATAAAACCCAGTGGCCCTGTTTCACACTTGTTCTTATGTTACACCACCCTCTATATTTCCCAGCCATGCCAACTTTAAGTCAGTATGTAATAATTTATGTGTTGTCCTACTTTGTTCTTCATATCCTTTTCTGAAGGTCAATCTCACAAGAGGTCTGCCCATTCCTAGAGACCTGGCAAAGATGACCCAACTCCCTAAATTATCCATTTACTTTTTTTAATCCTTCCCCAAGGATCAATGCAGTCAGTTCCTTCTGCCAATCTGTAACACAAGCAACTATAACCTATTTTCAAAAATATCATTAGGATACCCACCAATGAGCTAAGCAATGTGTAATTACTGCACTGGATTCTGAAAACAGAGATCCTACAAGGAACCTCAACATCAAGAAAAGTACTTCAGATTATCCCATTCTTCATCGGACATGCAGATACCCAACATAACTCATTAGAGTTTAATTATCATTAATAATTGTAATCTTCCAAATTCTCTCAATTTTCACTAGTGCCCTATATTTTCTGATATATATATCGTTACAGAACAATCCTCATATCATAAATTGCTAATATCTATCTGTTTCTTTGCATTTGGAAATGGTATTAAAAAGCCAGTATTCATTTAACCTGGTCTGCATTTACAGTTATATGTTACAGTTTATGAGCAAATAAAATATATGTTCTCTGCTATACAAACAAAACTTGTAAGAAAAAAGCTGCAATAATGATAGACCCCCCTAGCACTCAGAAGAGACTGCATGGGTAGTTATGCCTTGGACCAGACATTTAGGACACACTAAACATATGCTTTCTTATCTATCATTATTTATCTACATTACATTGCAACAGAAAGTTCCTTTAACTTAATTTCACAAAGGATTCACTCACATACTGCACTAAGGAGCCACCAATCTCCACTAACACATACTGACTACTCTAGATCCCAGTCAGGATGATATTCAACACAACGTGAAGGTCCACCTCACTTTTTTCCTGGCGGTCCCCCAAAATTGCTGAGCTGATGCTCAGCAAATACAGCTGGAGTGCTGTGATATCAACTATGGAGCCAGATCACCGCAGGAACGGGAGAGAGGAATAGGAGGAAAGAAACAGAAAGGGTACTTGATATGTACACTAAATCCTTTTTAAATCATTTCATTAAATTTCCCAAATCCTCATTTCAAGTACTGCACAACAGATTACTAGACAGAGCCCCGCTGAAACAAAAATTATTTATATTTCAGCACCTGGGAGTACAAAGAATCTTTTACTGCAAAAAAATGAAATAATTTTTCACTTTGAGTATTTTAGCCATCAAAATCCTGTAAAGAATTAATGATCTCTGGTTAGGTCAGTTGAATTTGGACAGCTCACAGACTAATCAGCTCCTTGCTCTGTGCTAAATCAAGCACACCACCTGATTCTGCACTGCCTCGCTTGGAAAGGCACCGGGGCACCCACAGTTTATGGGACAAGGAGAGAAAACGACATCCCTAACTAGTCAGCCACAACTTGATTTTGAACAATTCTACAGAAACCAAAACACCACAGAGAAATTTATCTGGCTTTAGCCAATAAGTACAAAGCACCAGAGCAAAATAAGCAGCAGTAGTCTTGGCTCATTCCTATTAGTCCTTATTTCACTGACACAACGTTTTAGTACACACGTACACACACTTGGACCATCAAGAGCAACTGCAGAAAGATGTGGTGGTACCATTTTCCTCTCTGCATTTATTTCAAGAAAGGCTTTTTAAATTGCAACACCATAGAAAAAAGCAACTCTTTTTCCTCTTCACAAATACTAAGTTGTATTAGACTAAAAAGAACAGTTTAAACATATTTGTGTTTGGCAAACTTGGAGGAGATAGATGACCAAACCCAATTTTTTTAATTTTTAATTTTACAAGTCATACAAACTGATCATAGGCTAACAACCCCTGACATTACAATCTGTATACATATACAAAATGTTGCAGTCTTTGAATTAAGAGGAGGATGTCTACAGCTGCAGTAACTACGAGATCACGGGTCATTGAAAGAAACTCTGTCTCTCTGTGACACCTTCTGCTGCTCTCAATATATCCACCACACCTCTGAGCTAAACTGCCACTCCTTTCGAACCTATCTCCACGCATTGACTTAACTCGCCTTTCTTTTTTGGTTTAATAGGAGAGTGGAAGAGAAAAGAAAGGAAGGAATTTCCCTAAGAGAAGAGCCGGAGCTTCCATCAAAGCCAGCACGGCAGCAGCTCTCCCAACACCTGCAGCAGCTTTCCAGCCTCCCGCGCTAGGCCCGAGCGAGGCGGAGCGCTGTGCCCGCCGGGCCGGCCGCTCCCGGGCACGGTCAGGCTCCGTGCGCGGCTCGGGCAGCGCCGGCAGCCGCCGGGGCCGTGCGGAGCCCCCGCGCTCCGCTCCCTGCGGGGCTGCCAGAACGCCGGCCAATCCCTCCGCAACCTACCCACGACACCTTCTGGGGAGGAAAACAAGGGGAGAGAGAAGCAGCTGTTTGCTTTTAAGCTACTCTCGCATGCCCTGCAACGCACAGCAAGGAAATCGGGAGTTAATTGCAAAGCGCGTCTGAGGCCATTACAACGTTGCGAGGCTACAAGTTTGCGGGGCTCGGCTCGGGAGGGGCCGCCGTGTTCCACCCACACACCCTCCCTGTCTCCCACCCGTGTCCCGCACAGCGGCTTCCACGTCGCGGCCGGGACCGGCGGGCGCTGTCCCGCACCCAGCGGCGGCTTCACAGGCCGGGCGCGGGGAGCCGCGGGGGCGAGGGGCTGGGCGGCGGCCGCCGACTCACCCGCGCCGTGACCTTGTAGACGGTGTGGCCGCGGGGGTGGCGGCGCGGCTCCGTCACGGTGTAGAAGCGGGCCAGGTCGGCGCCGCGCTCCCGCGGGCTCAGCATCCTGCCGCTGCCCCCGCCGCGCCGCCCGCCCGGCCGGCACAGGCGGAAGCGGCGCCGGGAACGCCCCGCCCCGCCCGGGCGGTGCCGGGGGCCCGGCCCGGGGAGCCCCGCCCGGCCGCCGCGGGATGCTCGGGTCCCCGGCTCGCCGCCTGTCCCCGAGGATCAGGCCGAGGTGTCCCGGCCCGGACGTGGCAGGCGCGGCCCCGTCCAGGTGCTCCGCAAGGGCACGGCCGTGGGGATTTACACTTGGCGGGACTGACGGCCGAGCCCCTCGCTCGCACGGGCCTCTACAAATCCGCAATGAGCCCCTGGTACGCCGCTCCCAGCGTCTGCCGTGGGCTATTTTAGGCTATGCTGCCCTAAATCCATAGGCCTGTAACGCAGAAGTGACTCACGGATTTTAAAGAGGAACGCTACCAGGAAGGCAAGTTTGATGGTTATCGAGTCACCATGTCTTGTGTGTTGTGTCTCCTCCAGGTTCTTCAAGCTGCACCTGGACTTCTCCCTGCGGATGGGCTCGCGTGGGTGCACAGGTCGGTGTTAGGAAACCCTCCAGGGCTTCAGGGGCATTGCTTCAGTTCTAAGGAGCATCACCTTGTGCCGCAGGATCTTGTCCTTTTGTAAGATTTACCTTCAATTTCTTTTCTGTAGTGCTGAAACGTAAATTTTAAGGAATTTAGAGATTTTAGAGGAGCTAAGATTTTAGTTAGAGATAAGCCTTACTAGAGTGAATTAAAATAAATTAGTAGGCCTTGATGAAGTTAAGAGTTAGTAGTTGACTAATAATTGATTGCTTGTCAGCACAATGTTTAATTAGCTGGGTTTATAATGAAGAATATAGAAATGACAAATAGCTTTTAGGAACGTAAGACAATTGTGGGCCTCCTCTGTTCTGAAACCAATTGAAAACAAGGAATGGGAGTTCTACCAAGAGTTCATTTGTCATATATGCATTGAAAAGATAGAAAGGTCAGAACGAGGAAGACTTCATTTCAAGGGACAAACTACGCATGCTTAATAGCTTTTGAAATGATTAGCATACTAAGCAAGGAATGGGATGTACCAAAATTATGAATATGTATTTGTATTTTGGGTATTCAATACTTGTATGGATAAAAGGACTCTGTAATCACTTGGAAGGCACGGTGTGTATTTGGGAGCGATCCCACATGCTACCTGGCGTCAAATAAACACACACTTTCTAACTTTAAACTCTTAAAGAGTTTTTGTCTGTCACAGTTGGATATCGGTACTAGATCAGTATCCATATTTTTAATAAATCAGTGCAGTCTGTACCAATGTAGATCTCACACCTCATATTATATAAACTGTTTCGATTTTTTTTTTTAATCACTGTGCTTTCATTCATTTAATTGCAGTTGTTAAAAATGGCTTTTCCTTACCAGGTTACTAATATGTCTGCTCTCATGCAGATTTTTGACATAAAGTATTTAACAATACTTAACTGCGTATCTTTGTGAAAGATAAAGAGTCTCTTGTACTGAAGTTCATAGTAAACACATGCCTCTCCTTTGAGGAACATTTTCTTAAGGAAGAGGGAAAAAAGAGGACATTGGTTGTTAGCAGCTCACTTGTCACTCTCCCTTACCCTCTGAGAGGGGAAGAACATGTCTTTTACATCTTGTGCTGGTATGTAGAACTTCATGGAAGTTCTATAAGTTATCAAAAGTTTGCAAATTCAAGTACTTGGGGGAGAGAGTCAGTGAGTAACTAAAGAGGCAAACACATCAGGCTTAGGAAATGCATGGAGCTGAAAACAGTAAGAGGCAGGGAGAGTGTTCATTTGAAGTTTGCCCAGCCCCTGCATATTTCTAGGCATCTGCTGCTAACAACGTTGAGAAAGCAGGCAACTGAGCTCAGTGGACCATTGATCTGAGCCACCGTGGCTGTTCTAATGTGCAGTGTAATCAATCAAAGCATCCCTCAGTGAGTCAGTAGCCTCCATTCACTAGGGAGTTTCAAAAAGCACAAATGACTCATAAAATAATTTGGCTTCTACTTACAAATCAGAACTTGGAAATACCTAAATCTGCAGAATATCTTTTTACATGGTATAGCTAACACAAAGTAGTAATTAGACAGGAATAAAAACCCACAATTAAGTATTACTGGCTTACTAAGACTTTTTTAGGTCAAGGCAAGAATATCTAGCAATACTGAGATGCAGAACAATTTGCATTATTTTAATAGGTTAATATTTTTCTTCTGTTTTGTCTATTACACAACTTCCATGCTTTTCAGCACATCTTCATTCTCATTAAAACCCAAAGCTTCCATGATTTATTTTATTCCAGCATCACTACTGAGATTACTACTATGTAAAAACCATTGAAGTGACAGATCAATTTGGGTGTCCCTGTGCTGGTCAAAATACAGAAAATAACTGCATGTTATGTGTAGATTCTGCTCCGAAAAATAACAGCAGTTGTTGCTATAGCTATGGCTTACTGTCTTCAGTCCTAGAAATACATCTAAAAGATAAGAATACAAAATTTCAGAAAAGAACAAACCACCAAAACAAGATGGTCTTGAAAATGCAGTTGGGAGATCCTTTACTATACATGTGTTATGGGGTTAGTAGTTTCATTCCCATATGGTGAAGAAACTAACAGAAAATGGATGGGTATTTTTACCTTTCACCAGTAAGTTGTGAGCAAGAAATGGAAAACCCAATGTGGATCTGACACATTGCCTAACTAGTGTGCTCATCACCACATTATTTCAATTCCAGTCTTCCCTGCCATTCCTGGGAAAACTTCAAATGTTATTTAAAGTCATTTTTATGACAGATAGAAAAGGAATGCAGAAAAACAGTATTATATACTTGATTACAGTTCCTGCACAGCATCTGCACTATTCAGCACTATTAATTTTCCATATGCATTGTGCTGTGTTTCCTTACAGTAAACAGGGCCAGCATTTCCTCTGTCCTCAGAAGACCTCAAGAAAAGGTTCTAAGTGCTTATTCAGGCAACATTGGCAGAGGCAGAGGATTGTTGCTGCAGCTGGTAAGCAGCGGTGGGTCTGTCAGCAGGGGCTGCAGGGCAGGCAGGTCTGCCACCCATCTCTCAGGCCAGCTCTCCTCAGCAGAGCACTTTCAGCTGCATTTTAAAACCTCACAATGTTGAAATACTTGCTTGGGTGAGCAGGGTTTGTTTTCTGCAAACACTAAGCATGGTGCTACTGCCCTTCAAATAGACTATGGCACCTTGAAATACACGGCAGCTCTTTCTCGGCCCTTTTTACTGTGCAGAAACACGCGGTGATCCCAGGGAGAAAACCACTTATGGAGACTATCACAGAATACACCGAGGTTGAAGAGATCCACAAGGATCATCAAAGTCCAACCGCTGGCCCTGCACAGGACATCCTCGAGGGTCACACCATGTGCCTGAGAGCATTGTCCAAATGCCTCTTGAACTCTGCCAGGTTTGGTGCTGGGACCATGACCACTTTCCTGGGGAGCTTTTTTCAGTGCCGTCCACCCTCTGGGTGAATGAGCTCTGCACGAACACAGCGTTACCTCTGTTATAAACGAAAATTTGTCAAGCCAAATTAAAATGAAAAAATAAAATATTTATTTTGCAATCAAATTCTATCTAGCCAGCCACAAGGAAAGAACAGTGCCGAGCCCAGGGTCGGCCCTGGCGTGCAACAAGAAGTCAGCCTCAACAAAGGTTTTCCTCTATGCCCACTCACCTCCATCCTGGCACAAGTGGTTTTCATAGGGAAAATTCCACCTGAGGCCAAGATTTCAGCAGTTAGTCTTTTCTTCTATTCAGAGTCCACAGGTTAATAAGATTTTCTTTTTTGGTGATGAAGAAGAACAATTCAGTGTCCGGAGTTGTTGAATCGCTTGATGAAGTTTTTGGGAACGCTGCATTCACATGCATCTGTCCGAGGATTTCCATGATATCCATCTCGGGTCGTTCAGGCGATGATCAGCGCCTGGGGTCCCCTATCTCTCCAGACACATGGGCCGAGCCACATCCTTTTACTTGTAAATCGGGTTCTAATATACACCAGATGAGGGGGACTCCTAATACAAACGTGTACACTCCAACAAATATTCAATATCACACATATCACACTAGAAATAGCGCGAATTATATCTACTACACATAACACCTCCATTTGGACGTTTCAGCATCCCCATCGGGCTGCCTACACGCGGGTTTTGCGCGGCGGGTAGCGATGGCGGCCGGGCCGCGGCGTCGGCTGCCCGCACTAAAGATGGCCGGCCGGGACTACAAGTCCCAGGAGCGAGCGGGAGGGCGCGGCGCGGCCGCAGCCCGTGCGGACGGCGGGGCGGCGGCGGGGCGGCCGGAGCGCGGCGGCCGGAGCTGGCGCTGCCCCGGGCTGACCCCTGCGCGGGGCCGGTAGCGGGGCCCGGGCCCGCCGGGAGGTAACCGGGCTGGGTGCGCTGGGGTGAATGCCGCCATTAGGCCGAGCAGGGCCGCGGTAGACAGAGCGCAGCGCGGCGGGGCGCGTTCGGCTGCCGGGGATGGGTGTTTGCGGGGCCGGGGTTTAGGAGGGAGCAGTTTCTCAGTGCTTTTCTGTAAAGCATGTGGCTCAGGGGGTTTTTTGTAAAGGAGTGATGCCGCTTTTTGTTCGCTGTGACGCTGGGGGTGTTTTTGTTTTTGTGCCTGCCGGACTACAGCTGGTGCGCTGTGGCGGAAAGGGGTTATTTCAGGACAAGCGGCGTTTGCTGGAAGTTGTATTAGCGATTAGAGGGTGTCCAAAGGAGGGCAGTGAAGATGGTGAAGGGGATATGTGTGAGGAGCGGCCGAGGTCATTTCCAGCCTGGAGGAGACTGAGGGAGACCTAATGGCAGTCAGCAGCTTCCTTATGAAGGGAAGAAGGGGGCAGGCACTGATCTCTGCTCCGTGGTGCCCAGCGACAGGAGCCGAGGGAGTGCCCTGAAGCTGTGGCAGGGCTGATTTAGGCTGGATATTAGAAAAACGTTCCTCACGGCTGGAACAGGCTCCCCAGGGAGCAGCACCAAGCAGCCTGACAGTTCAGGGAGCTTTTGGACAAAGCTCTCAGGGTGTCCTGTGCAGGGCCAGGAGTTAGACTCAGTGGTTCTCGTGAGTCCCTCCCAACTCAGCATGTTCTGTGATTCTGTATTTCTGTATTTCGGCTTATTTGTTCAGCTGGATGGCAGCTGGGAAGTTCTCACTTCAGCGCAACTTCAGGCATACCAAGCTTTGATATCTTTTGCTTATAAGTTTGAAGTATACCTTAATTAAACAATGAGGAAGCTGAGATATTGTCACTCAGCCTTCCTTCCTGTGATTTTCTTGAGAGACAGATTTTTTCTTCTAAAGAAAAAAAAAAAAAAACCAAAAAAAAAAAACACCTTTTTCATGGCTTTAGTTGCTGAGCTGTGGTTTGCTCTCCTGGAAAATAAGTAAGAATAGAGATTTAGTCTTAAGCTGGTGCTAGTGATGCCTTGAGATTTAGTACCTTTATTTCCCTGTTGTGTGGGCACTGGGATTTGAGCCAAATCAATGGCTTTCCAAACAAAGTTCTGACAGCTTGCAGGAAAGTGTTTCTAATTCCTTACAAATAGCCTTATGATAAAGTTAATGCAGCATGCAAAAATGACCTTTTGTAAAGGTCATTCCTCTGAGCATTTGAAATATCTGATACTTGAATTCAACAAGGCAGAAAATAAATTTTAAATTATTACTGAGGCAGATAGGGTTTGGACACTAAATGACACTTGTAAATCTGGGGGGGGGGGGGGAAAGGATGCAAGATCACTTTGTAAAGTCCCGTTTTGCATATCATTTAGATAAATGTTTAAATACCTTGTATATAAGTGTTTGAATATCTTGTATGCATTAACTTGTAGAGAGAGAGAGTATCTTCTGTAAGTCTTGACCAGGATGACTTTGCCTCCACAGCTTTCTACAGGCAGATGTAGTTGTGTGCTAGTAATGAAACTTGTGCTTTTTTGGTAGACACTCCATGCTGCCCCGCCATGTGCAGAGGCTGGGCAGAGACTGGATCACCCACTGGAATGGCTCCCAGATTCTTGCCTTGAACAGCCCAGTTTCCAGCTGTATGAGATGGGCCGGACATTATCCTCCCTGGGCCTCATTCCCACTCCCCATTTCAGCTGATTTTTCAGCAAACTGGAGAGTCCCTCCATTTTTTGGACCTTGGAGACAATTTCAGAACTCTAATTGGCATCTTGATAACTACACACAAAGTTGTTGCTTTCATCTGCCCAATCCCAGTATGAAATCTGAGGGAGAAGCACCATTGACAAAGAAGAGAAGACTCAGTGGCCAGGATGATACTTCAGCTCCTGAACAACAAAGAGACTTGTCTAATCAAAAGGCAGAATCTTGTCTTTCTGTAGCACAGAATGAAGAAAAACACAGCAGCAAGAAAGGTAAAAGATGCTCTTTGCTCATTTGCTGTGTTTATTTGTAGTGCTAAATACACCAAATGAGTTAGAGATATGAGCAGTAATGCCTGCTCCTTTTGAGTTGCTGTTTTTCTTGGCACCCCTCTCAGGAAAACATGTCTTTAAAATGATGCAGTTTTGTAATGCTGTTTAGTCTGTAAACTTGTATTTTGTGCTGTCAAACAGTCTACCAGAACAAGGTTCACTGCATTTGCAGTGGAACACAGTCAGTTGTGTCAGGGACTGCCCAACCTGGGGAGTCCTGAGCTTGGTTGTGACAACACTCTCATGTCTCTGTCACCAAGTCATGTCTGTTAACTTGGAAGCTCTGAAAAGCAAAAAGGTTTGGCTGATTTGCTTTAGGGCTGAGCTGTTGTATAGCTTCATTCCTTGTGCTCTGCCTGAGCTCATAAACTCTACTGGACCTGAACTGGTTTCTTTCCAGACCACTTGAGTTATCTGTGACCTAGAAAACTGAGAATGAGTGCACTGAGTTTTAATGGTGCATACTTCCAGTGTGATTGTGTGATTTTGTTCTTACAGCTGTGTTCTGCCACTGGCATGTTAGCAAGTTTTGTGTCAAATCTTGCCTGACAGCGCAAGCAGCACGTGTACAGATAAGTACAGGAAGATAAGTATAGGAATAGATATAGATATATAGATACAGCAGATAAGTACAGGAAGAAGTGCAGTTGTCTACTGGGTTTAGTAACAAACTTCCATGAAACTTCAAAGTGTCTGTGTTAACTTGTTACAGATACAATCTTGTACATAGTATCCAAATATTTTACTGAGTCTTGTGTATCTTTACACTTTTGTCTACTGTGAGACAAGTAGAGGAACACAGTCAAAATTGTTGCCCTCTTGTTTAAATCCCTTCCTTAGCAAAATAAACTGGAAGTTTTGTTGTGACTAAAAGGGGCAATAGATGCTATCAGCATCCCGAAGGGATGTTTGGACACAAATACCCATAAGGCTTAGAAACATCATATTCATCTTCAGGAGCCGAAGGAGGGGACTTTGCTTCATGCCCTAATTAGTGAGTCCTTGCTTAACCCTAGATGACTTTTATCAGATAGCTTTATCTGAGAGTGTGGTTGGCACTGTGGTCCTTTCCAGTCATCCTTTGTAAAGTGATGCTAATTAAAGATATAATGTGGCTTCTCTCCCACCACAGAAACAGAACTTAAAGCCTTGCTGTATTCATTGCCAACACTGTAAAGTCCTGAATAATCTAAGCACAACAATGAAAATTACTACTCAAATAGGACAGATGGTGACAGCTATAGCTGCAGTCTGCCACTGGTTGTTAGCACAGATAAGTGGACCTCAGCTTGCTCTCAGATGAGGTCAGATATAAAGGGTGAAAAGCATCTCTGTGAGTTTTTAAGTGGATAAATAAATTTCTTTAAAAGTAATTGAATGCTTAATGACGGGTAATATGTTATTATAAATTTGCCTATTTATTAATAGTAAGTACTAATAGTAGTACTAATAGTAAGTATGAAATGAAAAATGGCAGAAAGGTGAAGGAAACATTTTCAGAAGTTCTTGATATTTCTGAGACTTCATAATTTCTCAATTTCTCAACTCAGTGAGAAAAATGTGGGTTATTATTTGTTTTGAGACTCCTGTAGCAGACCCTGTTGCAGCTTCTGGCTGAGTTTTACAGACTGTACATGCAATAGAGGTGAATGATATATTCCTAACCCTTTGTTAGTCATGGATAGAGAGATCTACAAGGTGCCCATCTGCTGCCCTAAGGAGTGCATCCCAGACTGGCATACCCATCTCTGCTGAGGAAGCAGTGGCACAAGGCAGTGTAAAACTCCCAACAGACTGGATTTGGCTCACCAGTTTGGCAACCCTTCTGCAGGAGCAGAGGGTGTAGTCTGATTGCAACATTCTCCTTAAAACATGTCAGCTTCCCAGTTTCAAAGGCATTGAAATCCAGGGCATATAATGGTTTTGTGTTGTTTGTCTTGAGGTTGGGGTTTTTTGTTTGTTTGATTATTTTTCTTTTTTTACTGATGCTTATAAAAAATTGATCTTAAACAGAGGATCTGAATCACTGCTAATTGAATAAACTCTTAGAATTGTTTAAGAGGTTTGAAAGACAAATAGTTCTCAGTAGAATGATTTCCAAGAGCAGTAAGAAGTAATATGGTCTATAACATAGCTTTTTTCTGCTTCATGTGCTTTTAACAGGATCCATCAAAAGACACTGGGAATATTTCTGTCAGCAGAGTAAAACAATGAAAATCGCTAAAAATAAAGGATCTGACCAAAGCAGCACAGGAAGTGAGGCAACATTTGATTTTACAGTCATGTCCTACAATATTCTCTCACAGAATTTGTTGGAAGACAACTCTCACCTGTACAAACACTGCAGGCAGCGATTGCTATTCTGGACATACAGATTTCCCAACATCCTACAAGAAATCAAAGAGCTGGATGCAGATGTGAGTAGAAAATGAGCATGTGGATATTTCTGGGAACTGATAAACTGAAGTAGCAATTTTTGCTACTCTATACTGGGGTCTGAAAAAACACCTCAGGTTTTGGTTGGTTGTAGAGCTTATTGTTTGCTTTTGAGGACACATAAATTATTGTGAGTCTTAACCAGGAAGTCAAGTCAGTAAAATTTTGCTTCAGTCGTTGTTCAGACCAACAAAAGTTCAATGATAGAATCCATCCTGTTTGTGTCAGAAAGCAGTACTGAAAAAGTAGTTGTAATAGGGAAGCCACAGAAAAACAGCCTTGTACCATTTGAAAAATGCAGTTATATTTAGTATGTAGCCAGGAATCTGGAAATTGAAGTCCTCTTCAAGCTCTTCCATTCTTCCTAATAAACCTATACATCCTGTATGCATATATCTTTAACAATGAGATACCTTGGATAGCTTTCTGAGAGGAGCAGCTGCTCTCAGACCCTGGTAGATGTAGATGTCCTTTCCACAGAGAAAATTCTTGCTAAAGGACATAGATTTTTTTAACTATTTCATTGGTAGAACTATAACCTGTAGTGAACCAGAGATTACAGAATGTTTCTTGAGATTTGGCTCTCCCTTGACACTTTGAATGAGCTAATTTCAGCTGGGCAAGTGGAATGTGCTGCTGCAGTTCAGCAAGCAGGGGTAACTTGTTCCCCTTTCGGAGCTCAGTCCTTTGTCCCAGTGGTGGCTGTATATCTGTGTTACTGCAGCCTGCTGAGGGAAGGCTTAGAGATGCTCACAGCTAGAGTTGGACTCAGTGATCCTTGTAGGTCCATTCCAACTCAAGTTACTCTCTGATTCTGTGAACTCTCCTAAATTAATATTTTGTGTTTTATCTTTGGTTCAGGTTCTTATAGTATGGAAGCCTGTTTTCCACCCTGTAGTACACCATTTGCCTCTTCATCCCTTCTCCCTGAGCCTTCCCCTGAGCTGCTGAGAATGTAGGAGCAAGTTACTATTTTGATTAAATTGAATCTCCCCTCTGAAAATGTCTGTTTGAAAAAGGAGGAATTGGGGCCTTCTTCATAATCTTAGGGAGCATTTTCTATAGAAGAGTGACTTCTTTTGTGGGATTACGGAATCAAAAAGTTTCTGAGTTTGCTTTTTTTAATACCTGTACAGACTGGTCAACAGAGATATGGTATAGTAACATTTTGATGTGCTTACTAATATATTTTAATTGTAAACCTTTGCCTTAGGTGCTCTGCTTACAGGAAGTCCAAGAAGACCACTATAGAACAGAGATCAAGTCAAGTTTGGAATCCCTGGGTATGATGAAACTCTTAGGACCAATACATTGTCTTTTCTCCTTTGGGAACTCAGCAGTAGTTTCCTCAAAAAAAACCTCTCATTATAGAATCAACTCTTTTGCTGTCACACACAACAATGTTGTTGTGTATCCTCTTTCATACATTCATCAAGTGCTCTCTTGAAATTACCTTCATCTTTTCTACCAGTATTCCTGCTGGGTAGTTCTTCAAGGGCATGTTTTTTTCTGTCTTGAAGCCTTCCAAATATCAGCACTAAGTGTTAGCCATGGTCAGTATATATTCATTAGATTTTTATAAAAGTACTGTCAGTCAATCTGAATAGACTGTCTTGTCACTATCCCTCCTGTGATTTTATGGAAGGAATGTGTTGCTAAGGGTTGATTCCATGGTGGTTTAAACTGATCTAAACCTTTTGTGCTCTGCACCACCTTCCAGTTCCAGGGCCCCACTTCCATCCTGGCACTGGTTCTTGTCTAATGCCAGGAGGATATGGTAAAGGAGCAGCACTGGACTGATATTTTTTTCTTTTTTGGTTAATTGAAGTAGTCTAGCTCCCAGAATTGAGTGTTTGCAAAGAAGAGAGTAATGGCAGTACTGATTGAAATCCACTTGAACCGTGAAACAGCACTGTGAGGCCAGGCTTGTGGGGGCAAGTGAGCTTGCTTGTAGCTACTGTACAGGAGGATCTGGAGCTTGCTTTAGCTCTTCCTTTCCCCATCCCTGGTCCCAGATGCATGTGCTGCCCCTTGTCCTGGGCTAGTTCTGGCACTCGTTAGTGAAATCCATCAGTCCAGCAGAATACTATCCAGACTAATTTTAATTTTTTGGGTTAGTTTTCTGTTGGATTACTGAGTTAGCAGTATGTGCCACAACAAGTGGAGAGGGGAATGGGAATGGGAATCCCCTCTTCCAGCACTGGTGTGAGCTGAGGTCAACTCACCCTACTTCACTAAGGCTGTACTTCATGAAGTCATATGGTCTGGGCAGGGCAGAGAACATTTAAAAATGGCAAAAACTAGATACTGTTTTAAGATCTATTTTTTTTTTTTCCTTACATAGATAAGGTCTTGTTTAAATCTTGGTTAAATCACCTCTACATAAAATGAAGAAATTGGCAAATCACTAGATGGACTTGTTTGAACTCCAGTGCTGTCATTTGATAAGTGTATCTGTTTCCTTGGTGAAAGCTTGCCACTTGCTGCTCACTGGATAATTGCATAATTATGTAAATACATTTGAGACCTTTGTTCCATGAATAATTTTAGACATTGACTAATGACTTTGCATGATTAAGGCTTTTGATTGGTAATGCTTCACTGGTATTACTCCTAAGCCATTCTTGTAGCATCCAGAAAAAACTTCAATGCACAAGGCCACTTTTATGTGCTTTGTGGGGGTTTCTTTGTTGTTTTGGTTTGGGTATTTTTCCAGATGAGGAGATATGAACATGACTTGTATCTTAGGATATGTAGATGTTTAGACATTGCATAAGGTATTGGACCACGTTTCCTGTCCCGCCTTGCCTCAGCTCAGATTAGGGCAGAAAGAAAAGTGAACACAGGTTTATGTGAACTTCACACAGACTTTGGTACTTGAGACTGGGGGTTGACAGTGATGTGAGTAAATCAGCATGAGATCTTTCTGATTTTTTTCTTTGTTTGTTTTAAAATCTCTATTTATACTAGAGTATTTTATGTTCTTAATTGCCTTTCTTGCAGGGTATCACTGTGAGTATAAAATGAGGACAGGCAGAAAACCTGATGGCTGTGCCATTTGCTTCAAAACTTCCAAATTTAGCCTGATTTCCTCAAACCCAGTGGAATTTTTTCGCCGTGATATCCCACTCTTGGACAGGGACAACGTTGGACTGGTGTTGCTGCTGCAGCCCAGATTTCACTGTAAAGCCAATGCTGCCATCTGTATTGCCAATACACACCTGCTGTACAACCCAAGGAGAGGGGACATCAAACTGACCCAGCTTGCAATGCTCCTGGCAGAGATTGCCAGTGTGGCCCCTCGGAAGGATGGCTCTTTCTGCCCAGTTATCATCTGTGGGGACTTCAATTCTGTTCCTGGCTCTCCATTGTACAGATTTATAAAGGAAGGAAAGTTAAATTATGAAGGACTTGCTATAGGGAAGGTAGGCTGTACTTCTCACTTCTCACCAAAAAAATGGTTAATGCTGATTAAAGAGAAGTATTTGAGTTGTGGTGTGATTGTTCCCATTGAAGTGCCTCTGTTGGTGTCCTGTCAGCAGCCTGCAAAGCAAAAGTTACTGAATTTAAATAAGCTTGGCTATATTAGCTGTGCATTGTGTCCTCTCCCAGCATTCTGAAAGGAAAAACTCACCAACAATCATTCCTGAAATTTAGTGAATACACAGAACAATTGTATCACTGTGTTTATATGATTTTATCGCTGTGTTTAAGTGTCCCAGTCTTTAAGTAGGATAAAATAACCACTTAATCAAAAACCTACTGTGTGCTCTGTGGGAAGATGACTTACTGTAGATAAACTTGGTGGCTATGGTAATTGCAAAAACAAAGCTGCAATTAGATAACTCTTTAATGTTAAAAGATGTCTTGTTGTGAGCTGTTGTATGCAGCTGTTGGATAGGTCACATGGTATGTAATAAGAGTGACTGAACTACATAAAATGAGAAAACATGACCAAAAAAATAGCCTTGCTAGTGGGGACTTGATTCAAGCCCCATTTTACTTGACTTGCTCCCAGAAGGATCAGCATCCTGCAGCTGAAGTGTGTGCTGGGTAGCTCTGGACGCTGAGCCAGTGCTGTCACACTGCTAAACATGTCCTTGGAAGTGTCTCAGTGTCACAGGAACCATCTGGAAAAACTGGGCACCAGCAAAGAACTTGCTATGGATAAACAGAGTGGATGTATGTAAAAGATGTTATTTTTTACAGGGATTTTACTCATTATAAAAGAGTTATTCCAAGGGGATGAGCCTTTTTCTCCAAACTTCACAAAAATATTCACTTATTTCAGGTTTGTTTGGTGGGTTTTTTTGGTTCTTTTTAATCAGATTTCTGTCTGATGTCTTTCTCAGGTCTCTGGACAAGAACAGTTTCCACGGGGACAAAGAATATTATCTATTCCGATTTGGCCAAAAAAATTAGGTATTTCACAAAACTGTGTATATGAAATAAAACAGCAACAAAAGGAAGAAAATGCAGGTCAGTTTTTGAATGAATTAATTTTTGTGAGCCTTTGAAAGTAGCATTCAGCTAGTACTGAAAACCATACATTCTGTTTTACTGGGGGAAAAACAGTGAGTCTTGAGCTTACAAAACTTCCTTGTTGGACTCATTAGAGTTTAAAGTTTATTCACATAAACTTTGCCAATTTGAATCTGTATAAGATAATAGTTAGAAATTTCCCTTCAGGAATTGGTGTGTAATGTTTAAACTCGTGTGTCTGCATCCTGAAAGCCAGCAGTGCTGTGGCTGGGAGAGGGAGGTGAAGGAGTGCAGCACATGGACATAGTGTGGACTTGCATTCTGCCTCAGTGTTTATGAATTACAGCGTTGGTACTTCATGGGACAGTTGGGAAAAGCAAGTGATTCCTTGCTGAGTGTGGCTACATCTTTCATCCACTATTTTTTCCTTTGACAGAAAAAACAATTTTAAATGAATGGGATATAATATAAAAGAGTCTTTAGAGGGGATGTTACTAATGGAACAGAAGAATTTAATCCAGCTTGGTGAATTGTATCTTGCCTGCTGCAAAAAAATAAGTGTAAAGATACTTTTTTTTTTTTTACTGTAGCTTTTATGTAGCTCTTCAGCATTGGTCTCACTTATATCCTATTTTAAATATATATTGAATTTCTTTTTATTTTGCAGAAGAAAAATTGAAAGCATCAAAATCAGACAACGCTCAGGAGATTGTAATAGCATCTGAAAAGTATGTATTGGGGAAAAATATGGAAGCCTTTGGCTGGTTACTTGGGGGTTGGTTTTGATTTATACCTGATTCCAGCTGTGGATACCTGATGATCACCCAACCTTGTCTGCCCTTTTGGCAAAAACATCGTTGTTCATTTAAACATGAAAAGGCTGATGAGACAGCAAAAGACTACAACTGGCAATGATGGAATGTGTGTTCTTCAGGAATTTGCAGATATTTTTTCAGAATGCAGGGCTGAGGTGTCAGTGCTGTTTAGAGGGTACTTTCTCTCTGCTCATTAAAACAATGCTTCTGGCATTTTTTGTCACTTCTTGACATAAAAAGAACATCATCCTCTGTAGGGACATTGCAAGAAACACATGAGCTTCAGTCCAGTTGCAGAAGCCATGTTTTTAAAAGTGGGAAAAGAAAAAAAATAAGCCAGTGTTGTCCAGCTGCTGAAGTTTTGGCATTTCTCTCTTTTTGTTGTTTTTGATACACTTGTTTATGGATGTATAGAATTCTATAATACAGTGTGAAACTGAGAGGAAGGAGGGAAAGGAACTGGAAAGGTCACAAAATCTTCCTTGTCATGAGTTTTGTGGGAGTATTGAGAAATGTGGAGTATTATGGATTTGGTAATACAACTTTCACTCAGAAGGAGGAAGCCATGGCTAGAATGTGAGGAGGAAAATGTAATTGCTTTTTGAAAGCAAGAATATATTTGCATTTACCAAACTGGTAAAGGCATATAAAGTAAGGCATAGAAGAAGGAAATTTCCCTAAATGTATGTATGGGATGGTAGACTCCAAGTCAGCTATTTCTTACCAGAAATGAGATCTTGGTATCACTGGAGATAGTCATATTAGAACTCTTGGTGATTTTTGGTGATGAAAAAGATGTCATGGCATTTCTGAGAGAAGTAGATAACAAACAAGAGACCTATGCTATGGTTTAAATCCATAGCATACTTTCTTAAAAGGGATGTCATGTAACAAAAGCAGAAATTACTGCTTGTCTGTGTTATACCAACTGGCATGTTTGTCTCTGCTCTGAATCAGGCAAGGTAACATGCTGATTTTTGGTTTTTTAATTGCTTGGGTCTCAACCAGAACACGTTGCAGCCTAGGTTTAAAATGCAGGATGAGGCAGGTACAGCAGGTACAGCTGAGGGTTGGATGATTTGTAGAGATGATGGAAGCAAATGTCTAAAAGACAGGAGTTCTTTTGCTGAAAGGTGCAGTTTTACAGTTTTCTTTCAAGATTGAAAAGATGAGTGAGACAAGATGGGATGAACTGAAAAGGAACAGACAAATGATGGGGAGACAGAAAATGGGAGCCTGAATGGAAGACATAAGCATAGCCTAACTGGGAAGCTTGATACCTCTAGCCTGGGGGAGGAAAAAACCTCTAAAAATCTGAATTTCTCTTTATGCTGAAGGGTCTGGTTATATGAGTTTGTGTTTTGTTGCTTTCATGTGAGCAGCTTTCATGGGCATTTCTGCCTGCATGTCAGGGAGAGAATGCTGAGTGAGGACATGTGAATGCTTACAGAACGTATATGGAGTTGAAAGCTATCTATTAAGTAGAGTGTCAGCTAAGCCAGTTCTGATCAGCACTTTTACTTGAAAATGCTGCCTGCATTTTGACTTCAGAGTTTTAGCTTCTCACACAAAAGGCTATGGGATGGTTTGCAGGAGAGAAACACTAGTTTGCATATCCAGATAATTAATTTTGTTTGTAACCAGGAACTATTTGGTATTTCTTGATTGCTTATTCCTTCTTGGTAATGGGAAGAAAATAAAATTCTTTTCTTTGATGTCTGTAGGTTGTCTTCGAAATTGCGGCACCATTTTAAATTGTCTTCAGTCTATTCTCATTACTTCCCTGAAACTGGGATACCAGAAGTGACAACTTGTCATTCCCGAAGTGCTGTCACCGTGGATTATATTTTCTATTCTGCAGCAAATGATGGTACTGCTGACCAGCCAGGTAAATAAACCAGCTTTTAATTCTCATAAATGCTAAACAAGAATATTTGTTTGCTATTGTAAGAGAAGTGTAGTGATGATTTCATCCATGTGAAGTTCCTCAGAGGTTCATGGTAGTGCTTTGAATGTCAGCTGTTACCTGAGAAACACGGCTGCCCTTGTCAGCTCACCACAGCTGGACTTGTAGTGCCACACAGGGCCACCCTGTTCATCTGACTGAACATTTCTGTGGTTGCTGTCTCAGCATGGATACAAGCTGGAGGTACAGGAAAGCAGCAGTGGAAGTAGCACCCGAGAAGTTCTGCTGTCAGTAATGCAGGCCAGACCTACAGCAAGGCAGTATTCCCAATCATCTGATAATACAATGAACAGCAATTTGTGATGTGCAATAAAAGTGATAAATGAACCGTTTCCTGGCAATTTACTTCTCAGCTTGTCTTGCAGTAATTCTGCCAAGTGACAGACTCCTGGCCTTTGCTCTGAGCACGGTGGCTGGCACAGGCCCAGCTGTCACTCTGTCACTGTGCGGTTTGCAGTTGCAGCTAAAAGTCACCAGATGGTGCAACAAAGTCGCGGTACCTCTGTGGGAATTTCGAGACGGCTATCAGCGTTTCCCCATGCTTTACTGTTCTATGAGTGCTTCTGAGCAGTTTGCTTTCCACGCTCTCGTGAGTTCTCTGTTTCATGCCACCAATAAACATCAGTGCAGTGCTAGCACATAAATGTCTCTGCAGAACTTATGCAAAGAAACCTGGATTCCATTCCTGCTCCCACTGTACAGTGCAACTGATTTTTATAAATTAATATTGTTTTCAGTATGTGGAATGAAAACACCACCTTCATCTCTTGTGACTTGAGACTAAACTGTCAAAATTCATTGAGTCAATTCACAGAAGTCTCATTTGTCATAACATGCACTGTAAATGCTACCTTAATGTAAAATGGCAAATACAAAAGCTTTGACTGAAAAACCACAATATGAGAAGTATTTATAGGACTTCTGAATGCCATGTGATTTAATAGAGTGCTGTGTGATTGCAGAGAACGTCCCTGCACAAAATTTAATCCTAATTCACCTGTTTATATATTTTTGCACCATCATTATATATCTTTTTGCATCATCAACACCATCATTCCTCCAGCAGAGATACAGCACTTTTTTCTTTTTGCACTTGTTTTTCAAATAGATTTTTCCCACATCAGAGCACAGAGTGGAACCAAACTTGAATTCTCCAACTACTTTAGTATAGCTTTTATTCATGAGCTCTTAGAAATTAAGCCATGGTTTGGATTTTCAGTTTTCTAATGACCTGGGCCTGTGTATTTAAAGTTGCTAAAGTCTGTACAAGTGAATTTTAAATGTGGTCAGTGATTGTTTTTTTCCATTTTAAGTGTTTTATTTTAAAATATTAATGCTTTATTTTGTCATGTTTAGCTAAATACCTGGTTTGGTATTCAGGATTTCCTGTAACCAGGGCTCAGTATCTACCTGAGTCCTGCAGGGCACAGTTTTGCTGAGTGTTCTGAGTGACATTAACCACTGCATGCAGACCAAGCTCTCTGTGGCAACAAACTGCTCCTTTGTAGATGTGCAGGTGCTGTCCCAAATGATAAATTTGTCTCAAGACTTGGTGGACATGTGCTCTAGAGCTGCCAGGAGACCTTTGCAGTAAAAAAGCTTTTCTTTAGAGCAGCAAACAGCTGCTGGGTTGTTGAAGGGCTGGAAAGCTGGCAGATGGCAAAGGATGAAACTGTTGAAGTCTCCGAGGAGTCCTTTAAAGCATCTCTTGGGAAGCCACTACCAGGGTCAGCCAGGAAGTTCTGAATCTGCTGAGAACTTTCACACAGAAAGGATTTCTGTCAGCAGTTACAGCTGCAGTTTGTGCTGCTCCTGAAAGCACTCAACTTGCCCAGTATCATCTCTGCACTCTGAAAGCAATAGGTAGGGTTGCTGAGTAGTTGTCTAACTTGAATACATAGTTCAAGAAATCTAAATTGTACAGATCATGGAAGGATTTCAGTGGAATTTCTCCACCAGAGCTGAAAAAGCTGATTGCTCTTTGATGATGGGCAAATCATGACTGACAAATCTAGTGGCCTTTATGGCAGGGTTACAGTAATTGTGGAAAAGGGGAGAAAAGTGAATATCTACCTGGCCTTGTGCAAGGCATTTGACATGGTCCTGCCCAACATCTGGAGAGATGGATTTGCTGGCTGCACCACTCCATTAATAGGCTGGAAACAAACATCAATGCCTCAATGTCCAGGTAGAGACAAGTGGCATTCCTCAGGGATCAGTACTGGGACCAACGCTGCCCTATCCCTGCAAGTATCCAAGGTCAGGCTGGATGGAGCTCTGAGCAACCTGGTCTAGTGGAAAGTATTCCTTGCCCATGGCAAGAGGGCTGGAACTTGATGGTGCCTAGGCTGCCTTCCAACCCAAACTATTCTGTGTAATTGTGTAGTAATTGCAAGGCTTGAGTCGTGTTCACTCTTGCATGAGCAGTGTGGTGTTTCATCTGGGGAAGGAGCTGGGAGTGGGTTTCTTAGGTAGTTATAGGAATAAGTAGCAGGAGATAATGGAGATCTCTTTCTTATGATGAACAGTTAGAAAGGGAACAGAAAGCTAGAATACCTTCATCCTTATGAGCAAAGTGTCTGTATGACTTACCTCCTGGGGAACTGTGTGCTTGAGGATACAGCAATAAAATGTTATGTCAACCAGTAACTCTAAAAAGATACTTAACTTTGCAAGTGTCAGCTCTGTTTAGCAATGCTGTTGCCTAAAGTAATGGACTGGATTATATGAGGCTTTTTCAGGAGAGTTGCAGTGAACAAATAAATGCATTTTCCTTTTTATTTCTATTTACCCCTCCACAAAATAGTGTCCTTCTGAATACTTTGAGCTCTACTTGTGAAACTCTATTTTGAGAGTCACAAAGAATTTCTGAACTGTCTTATTGGTGATTTTGCATGGATGGAACAGTAACAACTTTGGATTTTTGCTGCCATACTGTTTTCCTCCTGCATCTGTATGAATGTGCAATATTTAGCCCACACTGATGAACATTTCTTTTTGGTTTGTTTTTCTCTAACAGGAGCAGAGGACTCTTTTTGTGGAGGTCTGAAACTTCTTGGCAGGCTAGCACTTCTAACAGAGAAAGATCTTTGGACTGTTAATGGTCTTCCCAATGAAAATAACTCTTCTGACCACCTGCCACTGCTAGCAGAGTTCAGGCTTATTGAGCGGTGATATCCAAAGGACTTGTGGTGTAGGTAAAGTTCCCTTTACCTTCCCTCTCATGGGATGATTATTATTATTTTTTTAAAAGGTTAATTCAAGCACTGCTGGTCCAGTTTAAATAAGCTTTCCTGCATGCTGACTTATTAGTGCTGTGTAAAGTAGACTTTGTAAAGGGACTTCCTTTTATTTTAAAAAAATGTTTAATTTACTTTATGAAGTCTTTTAGGGAGAAAAAGGATTTTACATTGGCTTCCTCTCTGATAAAGGAAAACATCTGTGCCAGACTCCAAATGGCATTATTTTTCATGAATATGTTGTAAATTATTTTTATTGTAAATCACAGTAAAAAGGACTATTCTGAGAACTGTGTGTTTCTTTAAGCAAAGGGGAATGTGTTTGTGTGCCAGCAGCATTTTATAATGAGTTGAAAATAATGTTTTACTACAAAGGTGCTTTGTGGACACTTCCATCTTAACACTTCTGCAAAGGATTTTACTCAGCGTTGTCAGTGCAGAGGCTGCAAGATGAACTTTCAAAGGAAGAAAGGCATATAGGCAAACACTTATGCTTTAAGAATTTGCTGCTTAAAATTCAAAGGGCTTAAATATAGGTAGCATTCACTGAAGTATTTTTTTAAAATATCTGAAATAAAGCTAAGCTTAATGAGCACACCACATCAGAGGAAACAACTGATCTATACAGGAACAAAAAAATTAGCCCTTGATGTCTTGAGGTTTCATACATATTGAACAATTGATGACAGGGTGGGTTTTTTTTTTCCATTTAGTTATTAAAAAGGCCAGGTTCCATCTTGAAATGACAGGTCCTGAGGTTATTAAATTATCATGGCTTTATATTTACTCTTGATATGCACTTATAAACATTCAATATAAAATACAATTTACAAAGTAATTAAAAAACCACCAGACTACTTGAATAGGAAATGTAGAGGGGCTAAAAACAAATCCTGTAACTTGGTCAAACTACACATGGATGTGTATGTAGAACCAACTTTGAAGTAACAGAATTGTCTTTCAGTGTAATGATGGAAAACCTGCACCATTCAGACACAGTTGTCTCCCAGAAGCACTTGTGGAATTTTCATCTGTGTTGCCTTTCCCTGACTGCAGACAACTGCAATTAAAGAAGCTCCTCAGACCATTACAAAATATGTGCACCTGCCAAAACATTCAGCTTACATTGCTGAAAATTTGGAGTGGGCTACTTTTGTCAATCATAGGTAGTTGTAACTGAAGATCTTTCTTCTACGTATTAACAGTGAGGTTGATGCCAAGGATGAGAACCCGTTTGATCCTGGATTCTGTCTGGTTTCAAGCATCTGAGTAATCTCAGAGATGCCAGCATACTTAGATAGAGGCAACAAATTTCTGGGTACACCCACACTACAGCTAAAAACATTGTTCAGTTGTAGCAACCCTTGTTAAGAGCAAAAACAAAAACAAACAAACAAAAAAAGTAAGTCATAAAAAAAGACTACCATGATACTTTTATTGAAGTTTCATGCTGTGCATATACAAGTAGTGAAAAAAAGCCCAAAAAGTCATGCACATTTTTCTATACTATTTGACCACTTTGCTGTCACTTGAACCACACTTAAGACAAATGCCATCATAAGCAAGTTTCAAGAGACTATTTCAGCAGAACTTTACACAAGGACCAAAAGCAATTTGTCAACACACCTCTACAGCATTAAAAAGCTTCAGTATCAGTTAAGAGAAAATAAAGTGTGCTGGAAAGGGAAGAAACTATACAAGCATTATTTGAGCTGTAGTAAACCATGGTTTCAATAGAAAAAAGTTGCAACATATCACATAACATTGTGCTATAGGATACAGCTGATCAAAAGTTTTTCCACATCATTTTATCCATGAAAAGTCATTTAAAAAATTATTTCGGTCACAAGACACTGGGCAGCATGAAGTTTGAAACCAAAACTCTGCAGCTGATGTCAAATTACACAAGAATTTCTACCAAAAGAGTATTTTCCTCTCTTCAGCTTCACTCTTTGACCAAAAAATATCCTTACTGTGAACACAGGAGTGGGAAAGTTTAGAGAAAGAGGGATGGGAAAGGCCTTCCTGTTATTGATATGGTAAACTTGGATAAAGAGGTGTCACACTTTTGAAAAGTATTCTTTCTAGAGCTTCTGAAGTCTTAATTAGTAGGAAGCCTTTAATTGGCTGTAGAAGGTTGCTGGGTCTTGGCTTTTTCTTCCTGTCCTAGGCAGGTGAAATTCAGTTTTTTGAATAATGAGGTCTGTGAACAAGCAATTCTTTCCTTCTGTATTCATTCATTTTCTGGCTGATGGAAGTGTTCTAGGAGCTTACATCATTCCATTTGAATAAAGCATTACTGTCAGTCTGTAACAGCATCCATCTTCATCAAGATCCCAAAAAAATAAGTGCCCAGGAGGGGAGGTACACCAGGCCCATGGCAGCATCATCTATGAGCACAGCACAAAGGGTAGAGGCTGGACATGTACAATAATCCAGTTTATATTTAGGCACCTAATGAAACATTTCCAGGAATGCAGCACTCAAATGCTTCCAGAGAACTTCACTAAGTTGAATGGTGGACCCCAGCGAGTCTTAACCGTGGCACTTGAGAACACTGCTGTCCATCACAGGTCCTTAGCCAAGGCTTACAACAAAACAACTGAGTAAGGAGGAAGCAGACAAACTTGATTTTCATCTCTTTCAGTCATACTTCCTTATTCAAGTCTGACTAACCACTTGTTACTACAACACATGCATGAAAACTCCCTGCACAGCAGAGCAGAAGGTTTATCTTCAGCCTGCCATGCCTGATTTAATACAAGGTGTCAAGGCATCACCATCAGAGGCTGCTCAGCTTTTCAAAGACAAGGTTCAAATTTGCACATAAATGTGGAGAGAAAAGCACATAGTCTCAGGTTAGCAATTCCCACAGTTCTTCCATTATTCCAGGTACTACATATATGAGAAAAAAGCTGACTTGTCTCTACAAAACAGCAATCTCTATGTTTTGTGCTTCAGCAGTGTAGTTCAGAAAGACTAAAAGCTTGTGACAAAAGTATAAAAAAATTATGAAAGTTTAAAAATTCATTATTCATCAATTATCATTTAAAAAACCTCAAACCTCATATCTTGCCTAACAAGTTGTCAGTGTCAAGAATACAGCTGCATATTACTTTTACTTAACATCTTTCGGCAACATGCAGAAAATAATAATACAGGTGGCAGTAAAACATCCAGTGCTGTTTTAATACTCCCAGTAATGCTGGGAAACAGTACAAATTGGTTAGAAAACAATAATACTGACAGTTTTGCATATCTATTAAGTCTAGTGAGGTAATATTGATAATTTAAAAACTTATGCCACTTCTTCACTGCTTGCTTTTATTGCTGAATTAAAGATTTATAGTGAATATGTTTTTTTTAATTGCACTGCACCCCAGCACATCTTAATATTAAGAATATGATTTGTTAGTTATTCCAATGCAACCAACCAGCACAAGGCCAAGTTCAGTTAACACTGCTACAGGGAAATTTGAAGAAACTCACACCACTGAGTCACCTGCTACATGATGAGAGAGAATAAAAAATCTCACATCCTGGCAAATCTAATTTTAGGTTCTCTTCACTGATGCCTTTTCTATAAATTTAAATAAATACTGCCACCAAAAAAAAAAAATTACCCCCTATTTTCTAAGTCAAACTTTTATTTTGAGAGTACATAAGTTAAAAAATAGTCCCATTCCTTTTTCCTTCCGAGGGAGTGCAGGTAAAGTGCAGCGGCAGCAGCGGGAAGCCCTCCGGAGTCCGTGGGGTGGCTGTGTCAGATGCGGAGCTGGTAGCCCACCTCGTTGAGTGTAGCCAGGTCTCCCTTCTTGTCCAGCACGGCTGGCCTGCACACAGGGGAGGGAAGAGGGCATCTGCTGACCATGCAGGTGTGGAGAGCACAGCAGCCACACAGGGAAAAGCTTGCCTCAGAGGAGGGCTGGATAGAGCTATGGTCGTCATCTTAAACACAGTCCTGGTAAATCTGCTGCAGGAACTACTGTGATAGAGTTATCTGTGCACTGCCTCTGAGGCCATGCACCAGTGAAGGACAAGCTGTGGCATGCTGGGATCCAGGATGTGAGCCTGAAGCACCCCCTCCTTCTGACTTGAGAGAGGGTCTAAATGAGTAGCTAAGACTAAACACACCCCACCTGTCATCTCCCCAGAGCAGGACTCCAGCTTTTAGAACAAAGCTGAAGCAGCTGAGAGCGAACAAGCAGGGCTCTCACAATGCCACTGCGTGTTGGCTCTCCCCCAGCCTGCCCCCTCCTCCTGGCTGGGCCTGTGTGAAGGGCTGGAGCCCAAACAGAAAACATAGGGTGGACTCCCTTCAGCCTCCTGGCATCCAACTTTCTGATACCATTCACCCGAGCAATCACACATACATGGATGCTGTTAGGCCATTTAGGTCTTCCAACAGCCTGAACCAAAGGAAACCTTGAGCTATCAGTCTGTCTCTTTATAGCAAGCAATGGAAAAGGTCCTGCAACAAAGTTGTCAAAACAAAACTATGCAGCTGATTTATAGTCTGGAAGTGTCTGATCTGAGCATTTATTGCAGGCTCTTGGCTGCTTTCACACTAAGCCGTCTGTTTGCTTTTCTGAAGACAGACATTGTTGAAAGCACACATTTCTCTAGTACTCTGTAGCACGTCTGCTGCCCTGCAGAAACACAGCCAAAGCCCCAGCAGTACAATGGGAGGCTGACCATGGCTCCAGTGCTTTCAGCTCCTCAGGCCTGGTTTCCAGCTCTGTGTGTTTACTCTTTGCTCACTACGCAGCAGATGTGACCCCTGAGTTTGCACAGCCAGGCTGGTACTTATCTCCCTGCTGCAGGCTGCCAGCCCATTCCCACTGGAGCAGCTCAGGGCAGGCAGCAGCTCCCAGGAGAGGCAGCAGTGTCACAGGCAGGCTGGAAACCAGGGAAAGCCCAGCCCTGCCTGTGGCACACTGCTGGGGCACACACCAGGGAAGAGCTGTACTGCTGCAGCCCCAAGAACTGGGGGTATATGTATAGCTCACACGTGCATGTGTACAACAGAGCCTCTGAAGTATTTTTGACTTCCTCAATTCAATAAGGATTTTTTTATTTTTAAGAGCAGAACTGCTAACACCAGATCCCTGCTGAGAATCTGCACAGCTTCGAGAGTTGGGGACATTGCTATGAACAGCTAATGCTCTTCTGCCTAGCAGCACATTGAATGAAACCTGTTGCTTTGCCATTTATCTGATCACCTCTCACAATAACCTCACCATCCTCACTGCAGTACTGCCCTGCACCATGCCTCTTGTTTGTCCCA